GAGGCCCAAAATCCGAACTAACAGCCCGCACGTGCGGGCATCCAGTGCCTCCGAGGAGGCAATGGATACGTCGGCACCCTTGGTGCCGAAAGAGCGGCGTGGCTCCTTGGAGCGCGCCAAGAAAACAAAAAAGCAAATAACAGGGCCTGGTGACGGCCCTGTTAAGTGAACTCAAACTCCCCGTCTAAACAGCCACTCGCTTTTCGTACACACAGCATTATTTTACATTCACCATGAACACTCAAATTATACAATGGAACGTCAGGGGCCTTCTCAGAAACCTTGACGACATCCAAGAGCTCTTACACGAACACTCACCAAAAGTGCTGTGTGTACAAGAAACACACCTTAATTCAAAACACACAAATTTTCTTCGTAAATATGTTATTTTCCGAAAGGACCCTGTTGATGCCATGACATCATCCAGAGGTGTTGCCATCATAGTGAATCAAGGAATTGCATGCACACACATACAACTCCAAACATCCCTTGAGGCAGTGGCTGTTCGAGCAGTTCTTTTTGATAAACTGATCACAATCTGCACTATTTACATTCCTCCTAGCTATCCGCTACAAAAACGTGATTTACACTCTCTAATTGATGAACTTCCGGAGCCTTATGTTCTCCTTGGAGACGTTAATGCGCATAGCAGGCTATGGGGTGATTCTCGGTATGACGCGCGAGGTCGACTGATCGAACAGTTCCTTCTCTCGTCGAGCGCGTGTCTCCTGAATCTAAAAGAACCAACCTATTATAATCTCGCTAATAACACCTACTCCTCCATAGACCTAAGCATAGCATCTCCATCTCTTGTGGCTCTACTCCAGTGGAATGTCGTCAGTAATCTGTACGGAAGTGACCACTTCCCCGTAGTTTTGAGCACAACTACAGTAACCGAGTGCCCACCACGTGTTCCCAAGTGGCTAATAAACAGAGCCGACTGGGAACAGTTTTATACTATCGCTCGTCTAGGTTGGAATGACATCTGTACTTTGAACATCGATGTTGCTGTGAACTACTTCACAGCGTTTTTGATTGATGCTGCAACAAAATGCATCCCACAAACAAATGGACACCCTGGAAAACGACGTGTGCCATGGTGGAACTCTGAATGCCGAAACGTGCGCAAACAGCAAAACAGAGCTTGGAGGCTGCTTCGAAACTCATCGACAGCCGAAAATCTTGAAACCTTCAAGAAAATGAAGTCTCAAGGCAGGAGAACCCGTCGGCAGGCCAGAAGAGAAAGCTGGCAGAAGTTTTTATCAGGGGTTAATTCATACACACAGGAGGCTAAAGTCTGGAACATGGTCGGTAGGATAGCAGGAAAACAAGTACACACACTTCCCCTCGTAAACACTCAGGGTGATACCTTGGAAGATCAGGCAAACTTCCTCGGTGCACACTTCGAACAGGTATCCAGCTCGTGCCACTATACTGACACTTTCCAAAAATACAGAACAAGAATAGAAAAGCAAAAACTCGAACACAAATCTACTAGATACGAGGCATATAACCAAGCTTTCAGTCTAGCTGAGCTCCAAACATCTCTAAACTCCTGCAGTACTTCTGCCCTAGGTTCTGACCGTGTGATGTATGAAATGTTAAAAAACCTACCAAACGAAACCCGAAAAACCTTACTTTGTTTGTACAATGCTATTTGGTCTTTTGGCACTATTTCTACCTCCTGGAAAGAGGCTATTGTTATTCCCATTTTGAAAGAGGGCAAGGACCCTTCTTTAGCTTCGAGTTACAGGCCTATTGCACTTACAAGCTGCTTGTGCAAAGTCTTCGAAAAAATGATAAACTGCCGACTTGTACACTTTCTTGAAACAAACAATTTGCTCGACCCATTTCAGTGCGGGTTTCGAGAGAGTAGATCCACGACAGACCACCTTGTTCATATCGAGGCACAGATCAGAGACGCCTTCGTCCATAAACAATATTTTCTCTCTGTGTTCCTCGATATCGAAAAGGCTTATGATACAACATGGCGTTTTGGAATTCTAAGAGACCTATCCCACCTTGGCGTGCGCGGAAGAATGTTTCACATAATCAAAAGTTACCTGTCAAACCGGACATTCCGTGTCCGAGTTGGCATGGTTCTTTCCCAAACATTTGTCCAGGAAACAGGCGTGCCACAAGGTGGTGTACTTAGCTGCACACTTTTTCTCATAAAAATGAATTCCTTGCGCTTGACCATCCCTCGCAATATGTTTTATTGTACATATGTCGATGACGTCCAGCTTGGCTTTAGGTCTTGCAATCTGGCAATGTGTGAGCGGCAGGTTCAGTTAGGTTTAAACAAGCTCTCCAAATGGGCAGAGGAAAACGGATTCCGACTGAACCCACAAAAAAGCATGTGTGTCCTGTTCTCCAGAAAGAGAGGCATGCACTCAGAACCCGACATTGAACTGAACGGTCAACGTCTGTCTGTTAATACGGAGCATAAATTCTTAGAATTAATCTTGGACAACAAGTTGACCTTCGTACCGCACATCAAGTATCTAAAAACAAAATGTTTAAAAGCCATGAATATTTTAAAAGTGTTGTCACGTACTAGGTGGGGTAGTGACAGGCAATGTCTCATGAACCTATATAGAAGCCTCATTCGCACCCACTTAGATTATGGGGCCGTCGTTTATCAGTCTGCGACTCAAAGTGCTTTGAAGATGCTGGACCCCGTGCACCATTTGGGCATCCGCCTTTCTATGGGTGCTTTTCGCATCAGCCCCGTAGAAAGCCTTTACGTTGAGTCAAATGAGTGGTCGCTTCATCTGCAAAGAACCTACATGTCCTTTGTATATTTCCTTAAGGTGAAAGCAGACAAGAGGCCTCCCTCATACTCTACTATTAATGACTTGTCGAGCTCCATTCTTTTTCAAAACAGGCCTTCAATGAGGCAGCCCTTCTCAGTTCGCCTGAAGGGTCTAGCTGAGGACACTGGAGTGTCACTCGAACACAGTTTAATGGCTCCTGTAGCATACCCGCCACCGTGGCAATGGCAGACTATAGACTGCGGTGTGTCTTTTCTAGAAGTTACAAAACATGCGCCTATTGCCCATATCCGAACATACTTCCTGGAACTTCAACACAAATACACACGTCCTGAGTTCTTTACAGATGCCTCCAAGTCTAACTCCTCTGTGTCCTACGCTGCTGTCGGCCAATCCTTTTCGGATGCTGGCCCTCTACATCCAGGCACAAGTATCTTCACAGCGGAAGCCTATTCGATACTTGTGGCGGCTAAACACATCAAGCAATCACAAATACAAAAAGCAGTAATTTATACAGACTCCCTCAGTGTAGTAACGGCTCTGCACACTCTTAAAAAACACAAAAACCCAGTCCTTGTCTCACTTAACTCCATTTTATGCACACTCTACACACTCAAACAACATGTTGTAGTGTGCTGGGTGCCAGGGCACCGTGAGATTCAAAGCAACGTGAGGGCGGATCAGCTCGCTGCATCCGTCCACAAAAGCACTGCCCCTACACCCATATCAATCCCGGCCCTTGATCTTAAGCCGTCTCTCAAACGAAACCTCAGAGTATACTGGCAGAGCAAGTGGGATACACACACACAAAACAAACTACACGTTATTAAGCCACACCTTGGTCATTGGCTGCCCGTATCGAAATCGCGTCATACAGAGGTAATACTAACGAGACTCGGGATAGGACACACATACACGACACACACACACCTTTTGTCCGGTGGCAATCACCATTGTGTGACAGATGTGGTGAAGTATTGACAGTCCTTCACATTTTAATTGAGTGCAAACAATTGGACACTGTAAGAAAACAACACTTTCCATTACCCTACCGACAACATATACCTTTACACCCTGCAATGTTCTTCGGTAGGGAACCGCTTTTTAGTCACAAATCATTGTTAGCGTTTTTTGAAGAAATTCATAGTTTTCATATATACCCGGGCATCCCGTAGCATGACCTCTCCAGAGAGGTTTTTGCTGCGGTGGTTACACAAGAAAGCACTTGCCTCACGGCCCTTGGACGCAAGGGTATGAACGAGTGAGGCAGTTGTGCTAATGCCATACATATCCACCATCGTCTTTTATTATCACCAACTTTTGTCATCTATTCACACCACACACACCTTTCACGACATGGTCATGATTTTATTACTTGTATGTTTTTACCTGCCTTACCGCGAGGAATTTTATGGCCCTTATACAGCCGCTTATCACAATCATTGTTCATGTTTTTAGTAAGATGAACTGGCGCTCTTTGGCCGTGAAATGGCCCTTGCGCCATAAAACATCAAACATCATCATCATCATCACTGCTCTGTGGACAGGTGGCCTCGTTTTCTCTTATTTTCTAGTCTTGCTAACATCAAGTACAAAGGACTCTCTGTAAATGGGAAGCTTTTAAACGGAACTGCTGCTTTTAAATGGACCAACTTCCTCTCACAATTGGTTTCATTCTTGATTGCTGCAATGCCGTTCGTCTCTCAGTTAGTGGAATTGCTGTTAAACGAAACACATTTTCCTGGTCCGTTCAGGTTCCATGTAATTAATGAAAGTCCATGGTATCAGAATCCCCTTTTCACAACATTCTCATCTGATAAGTTGTCAACTCTTGCTCTCTGAGGAGGTACCTCAATGAGTTTGGCAATTTTTCAAATAAAGTGTGGCTTTAAGCCACAAACTGATGCGAAATTCTTCTCAGGTCGAGCTGTGTGTAGTGCATCTGTTTTATTGTTTAGTGGCACTTTTTTTTCTTACTCTGATGGCATGTTTACTTACGCATTTCTTAGATACAATTTTTTCTTTTTTCACAGTATCATGAAAAACGAAATAGAAGGGTTATATTTTATCCAAATTTGACTTTATTTGCTGTATCTAAAGGCAAATACTAATTTACAAATGTTTTTCACCACCTTTGTAAGCAGCGTATGTGTGTGTTGTCCAACCGTACTTGGTCCCGCATAACTGGCCCCGGAGATAAGTCTGGCCGTGTCTTGTCAATTTCAGCACGGCCGAGGTGCTGAAGAACGAAAAGGTGAAGGTGCAGCTGACCGTGGGGGACAAGACCTTCACATGCGTCGCCAAAAGCAAGAAGCTTGCCAAGACGGCGCTCGCCAAAAAGTACCTGCGATTGATGAGCGAGAGTGCATCCGTCTAGGAGCACCCCTTGCCAAGCATTTGCACAGACTATTGAAATGGAAAAAGGGCATTGTGCATTTTTCTGAGTATGTGCCGGACACGGTTTCCTTGAATGAATGTCTTCACTTGTGCACTTTTCGGGCGTTCTGTTTCTATCACGAACGTTCCAGAGTTGTCTGTTACGCGTAGATCTAACACTAAATGATTAGATCTAACGCGTAGATCTAACACTACATGGCCTCGCATTAAACTCAGGCTGTGTAATGGAATCTGCGAGCCTTGCTTGCGAGTTTCTCGAAACATAAACTGTGATCTCTCGTGACCAGAGAAAACTATGCATACACTAAGAAGTATTTAACACTGTACAATTACTTGACATGGTCATAATAATAGTATTGCATTGTAAAGCATTGGTGATAAAGAGCCCATGATGATTGTTGTCATTCATGTTTTTCTCATTCGCACTGCAGTGTTGAGAAGTGCTGTTAATGTTGTTGTCTGTTTTTCATGGCGTGCGACAAGATTCAGTGAGATGTCGCCCCGATGCCCACTTCCTGTTTGTAGGAACCTTGATTGTATGAAGTTCGTATGGAAAGAAGTTTTAGCAGCCGAGCCCTCTGTTGTCTTTCATGTTGCATTAATCAATTTTACACCTGTTTGTCATGTGTTAGGATTTTTATGTGGTAATACCATATTTACTCGCGTAATGAACTTACCTTTTTTTCAGAAAAGTTGACGCCAATTTGGGGGAGGGGGTTCATCACGCCGGAGAGAAAAAAAAGTCATGGGAGTTATAACAGCTGAAATTTCACGTGACATTATTAAGGAACCCGCTGTCCAACCGCTGCTGGCCCTCAATTCAGTGGCAGGATTTTGGACCCTCTATTCGAAAACTTTGCTGCCCAGAAGGGGAAACTGTCCTTTTTTTTTTGGCCTGTGAAATGTGTGACGAACTTTTTTGTAGCCCGAAGCTGCTCTTGTTTATCTCCTGTAACAAACGCGCACGAATCGACGCTGCTAAGTGACGTCAACGCGCTCTGTTCCCATCCGCCGACAAATGCTTGCCCAACTTTAAAACTGGCCGTGTAGATAGCGTACAGGCCAATCGTGCCCTGCGTAGCATTAAGTTCACTATGACAAACCGGACAACAACAACAACAAAAAAAAAAATGCATGTGAGATGGCAAGCACATGCACATAGCGGGTGCACATTGCGTCGTCGGCGAGGTGGGCGCAGTTTGGGCTTTGTTTTTGTGCCACCGTGCTTGCATGGCGCTGTTTTTTCTACGTTCGACAGATGGCGCTTTGTAGCAAAAGGTGCAACTACGGTGAACGTCGCACATGCTTGCGCTGCTAGCAACTGTTGAACATCATTGTTATTGCCCTGTAATTTTGCGCCTTAATGGCATGATTAAACATTGTTTCGATGGTCAACGGAACTTGCTATCACAACAAAATAGAGCCAGCAGATACATTTAAAAATAATTTTGTTTTTCATGAACTGAAATGGTGGAGTGGGTTTGTTACCAGAGCAAATACGGTGCTTTTTATTATTATATTGCCACTAGTACAAGTTCTGAAAGTATTATTTCCATAGATGCTGGCAGGCTTGTATGTACCGCTGTTCAGAAGAGGACGAAGATGCACGTGCAGAGAAAAACGTAACGTGACAACTGGTGGAGGTGCTGGGTAATAGTCTATGCGCTGTTACCACGAGGAAGATCTCGGCCCCAATATCAGCGCCTTGGTAGAAACGGCCAACCTTCGACGCAGTCGGCGGCAACTAGGCCTGCCACCCTTATTCAGCCCTCTTCCGGAACGCTCCAGAACCATGGCATATGCGACAACTGCTAGTCAGACTGAACAGACTGCGACTCCGCCAGCTCCATGGCTACCAGCCTCTCGAACGCCAAAGCCCTTCCATGGGGAGCCCTACGAAGACGTTGAAGACTGGCTGGACCAATACAATCTAGTCGCCGTCACCAACGAGTGGGACGAGCACCGGAAACTGCGGTATGTCTATTTCTACCTGAAGAATTCGGCGCGTATTTGGTTCAAGAACCACGAGGCCGCCCTGACAACCTGGCCGGTGTTTTGCACACAGCTGCAAAACACGTATGGTAGCGCCGACCGGAAAAAACAAGTCGAACGTCTCCTCAATTCTCGCAATCAAAGACCCAATGAAACCGTGGCCATGTTCGTTGAGGAGATGTCTCGTCTGTTCCGTCGAGCGGATTCTGCAATGACGGAAGACAAAAAGGTACGCATTCTGATGAGGGGTGTTAAGGAGCAGCTGTTTGCAAGACTTGTACGAAACCCACCAGTTATTGTGGCAGACTTCCTCCATGAAGCGACGACAATGGAGCGAATGCTAAGACAGCGGTCTTCGCAGTATGAGCGGTCCGACAACCTTGCATGTCTGTCAGCACCCTTGGTAACACCCAATGTCACGAGCGTGAGAGACCTTGCTGAGCTAGTTCGTAGCATTGTATGCGACGAGCTGCAAAAGCTTCACGCATTGCCTTCACAGCCTCAAGTGGCTGCTCTGACAGACGTCGTCCGTGAAGAGGTGCGGCAGCTGGTACGACCATTAGTGCCACCTCTAACCGAAGCTCCTCTGCTAACGTACGCGGAAGCTATACGCACTCCTGCACCGGCAGCCAGCTATTCCCCCCGACCGACTAGCCTGCAGACGCCGCAGCACTTTTCGGGCCTGCCAAATTATGAAGACCAACGACCGACTTGTCTGCAGATGCCGCAGTACTTGTCGGGCCCACCACACTATAAGAATCCGCGACCTAATTTGCAGAAATCTAGCGTGTAGCGCGCTTTCGACAATCGGCCACTATGCTACCACTGTGGTGAGCCAGGTCACTTGTACCAGGAGTGCTCATACAGACCGATGGGCCTACCTGGATTTCGGCCAGACGCTTGTCGGCCCAAGGACGGGGAACGACCCCGCGCCATCGCAGAATACTTAGCAAGTCTACCGTCTCCGAATCTTCAGTAACGCCAATCATGCTCTCCGTCTCCTCGACGCTCTACGTCCGCGAATCAATACTCTACTTTCGCCGATGTTGTTGTTGTGGGACGATCCGCTAGGTCACCAAGTCTACGCCGGGGAAACTAGAATCAGGGGCTTACGGGGCTGGGACCGCTGTTAAGCTATCGCCAAAACAGCCTCCTCCGACCCATCCGCCGACCTTCGACGATTCCTTTCAGCCGACACCTCACATCGCGGACGAACCCGTTTCTGCTGACATTGCCGTCCTTGTCAACAACCGTCCAGTGACTGCTCTGGTCGACACCGGCGCCGACTACTCAGTTATCAGCGCTGAACTTGTGGCTGAACTCGGGAAAGTGATGACTCCTTGGGGGTGTGGACCAAACCTTCGGACAGCAGGTGGTCATCTCTTGACACCAATCGGGAGATGCACCGCAAGGCTGCAAATCTGTGAGTTGACGTTCGTTGCTTCTTTTGTTGTGCTTCCCGAATGCTCCCGGAAAGTTATCCTTGGCATAGATTTCCTTCGCGAGCACGCCGCTGTTAGAAATCTTCGAGACTGCCTTGTAAGATTTGCTGACGACTATGGCCCGAAGCCTAGAGATACCGATCCGCAGAAGACTGCGCTTCGCATTGTCGTGGACACCGTCACACTTCCGCCACGCACCGGTATGTTCGTTTCTGTACAGAGTGACATAGACCATGACGGTAGTGGTATCGCTGAAGCCAACCTTTCGGTGCTCTTGTCTCAGCAAACCTGCGTTGCCCACGGCATAATTTAATTTAAACGTGGGGCGACTGAGTTGTTGGTCACCAATTTTAGTGGAGCATACCAACATTTAGGCAAGCGAACAACTATCGCTCATTTCGAAGCCATTGACGATGAAGCGTGTACGACGATAGCCCCAATTTCTGCAGCCGTTGAAAGTGACACCGCGGTAGCCGATACAGTCAATGTCAATCCGAAGCTGTCATGTGCGCAGAAAGAGCAAATCCGCTGTATCCTCCGCATGTTTAGCGACTGTTTCGCGTCTACATCTAAGATAAAACAAACACCAACCGTAAAGCACCGCATTGTCACTGACCATGCTGAGCGACCCATACGTCAGCACGCCTACCGAGTATCACAAAAGGAACAAGAAGTAATACGTTCTCAAGTGAGCCAGATGCTCGGAGTTGGCGTAATCCAACCCTCAAACAGTCCATGGTCATCCCCCGTCGTACTAGTAAAAAAGAAGGACGGCACTCCGATTTTGTGTCGATTACCGCAAACTCAACAAAGTCACAAAGAAAGACTTTTATCCGCTTCCACGCATCGACGACTCACTCCGCCTCCGACGTGCCCGATACTTCTCCTCTATGGATTTACGCAGTGGCTAGTGGCAGATCGAAGTTGATGAGCGTGATCGAGAGAAAACAGCATTCATAACACCTGGTGGTCTGTACGAATTCAAGGTGCTGCCCTTCGGTTTGTGTTCTGCCTCTGCGACATTCCAGAGGATGATGGATACAGTGCTCTCCGGTCTCCAGTGGGAAGCATGCCTTGTTTACTTAGACGACGTTGTTGTCTTCTCCCAAATGTTTGAGCAGCACTTGCAGCGACTTAGATCTGTGTTTTCTGCAATTCGCACGGCAGGCCTATCACTGAAACCAGAAAAATGTCATTTTGGTTACAACGAATTAAAGTTCCTCGGCCACCTTGTTAGCCCTAATGTTATTTGGCCGGACCCAGATAAAACATTGGCTGTCGCAGCAATGAAAAACATCATGTAAGCAAGGGTGCAACAGCTGTACCAATTTGATGCAATTCCCGATTGCTCCGCTGAGCTGCGCCAAAACCGTGGAATTTGCTGAGATTGCGCCACGCTGCGCCAAAATGCCCAGCCAGCCTCAAAATATTTTTCAGGTGCGCTGAATTTCGTCGAGAAATGCAGGCCACGTCGGCCACCTGCGGCTTGCGCCATTGGTGAAAGTGCGCAGACTCGAACTACAGAGCCTAGAATATACTTAAACTATTCTAGGCACACAACCTATGCTTGCGAGACGCCATTGAATAGGTAATGTAACAACGCTGCGTGCCAATCAGTCCGCTGACCGCAGCGGATACGTATCGACGGGACGACGCAACTCTAAGACAAAAAAGCGTTGCTCCCACCAACGCTTCGCAGGAAATGTAAATTTCTGAGCCTGAAACGCGGCTATGGCTTGTTGAAAACTAAAGCTGGAAGCGTATGCCTCGTTTTCCTCGCCGAACGAGCTCGACGTGCAGCGAACGCCGGCGTTGCCAGCGACCATGTTGATTGTCTTAGCAGTGGCACATAAAACATTTTTGTCTTGAAGTTGCCTCGTCTCTGCCACAGGTCGGTACCCTCGCTGGGCGAACAAACGCGCGCTGTAGCTACTTTACCTGGTCGAACGCGCTTTTCAAGGGAAGCCAAACCGGAACCTAAAGCCACGGCGAAGGAAAAAAAGGGCAGGTGGAAAGTGGGATGGTGGTGTAAGGGTTAGAAAAGTTCTTGGCCTCGGTTCTAATGCTGCTTGAGCTACCTTCGCCGTGCAAAAAAGTGTATTGAGATTTAGAAGGGACTGTTAGCGCTAGTGGGACACTGCACATTTTGCTCATACTGACGTATAAATACGCTTCTGGCAATCATTTGAAGCAGTGTATGACATTTATGCTTCTCTAAAAAAAAAAATAGTATATGTTTTCTTTTTTTTGCCACTTCTACTCCTCAGTTTCACGAATCTCCCAAATTTCAAGGTCGCGAGCTTGGCAGTTTGACATTCAGATTGGCAGAGTTTGTCAAATGATTTGACAGGCACAGCAAATGCTAATATGGACTTGATCATTGTTTTCTCGGTGGGGTGATTCAAAATACTACTTTCATTCAAATGGCAGTGCTCATGTTCACACTGCGTGATTTCGGTGATGTTGAATGATTTATACACATTTTTTTCTAAATATAAGGCTTCTTTTCTATACTGCTCCAAACTTCTTATTTCATGCCAAAAAATGCATGTTTTTTCTCCCGTAACCTGCACCGAATGCGACATTTAGTGCTGCAAAAGTAAACTTTGCTGCTCCGAATTATATTTTGGCTATTGCACCCCTGTGCGAGTCTTCCCGTGGTACATCTCGCAATGGCCTTCGCTCAAAATGAACATTGCTATTAAGTGAAGCAAGCAGATTTTCAAAATTGACACAGTGACCACAGGTCCCTTTCTAGATTTAGAAGACCCGTAGCTGTGCTTTTCACATTTGATGTCACTGTACCAGATGTGATATCATGTGATAGCGAAGCATAAGCACTTCAGTATCTAGTGATCACAGAGCATGAATACTGATGCTTTACCTAAGAGCAAATGCTTAAGGGAGATGCCAGTCAAAAAATGAGTTTCTCCCAAAATGACAAATTTTTGGTTTTTATTTGTTTTCACAAGTTTATTTTCTCCACTTCCACTACAAAAAAAAATTGAAGATTGTAATTAAACTCGAAGCAGGTTAAAATCGCTTTTAAAGAGCACAAGATGCCGGCTTGCTTAAACCTAAAAGTAGCTCATTCTCTAAAGTACCCTGGAAATTGTCCCCT